AGTAGTAGTAGTAGTAGGGGCCCCCCCTACCAACTACCCTTGGTCATAACCATGTTAGAACAACATCCATTTTACTCGGTATTTGCAGCTCTTTCGTCATGTACGTGCATCTTATGAAGCTTCTAAATCGACTTGTCGAGTTTGCAAACTCGAGCTTCGGATTTTGGACTTGCTTTCTGGGGGGGAGGTGGGGAGAGGGAAGGGCCGGGTTACTCGGTAGTTAAAGTACTTTCGTGATGTCGGACCATCTTATTATAATACTCGCCAAAACCTACTTCTGGACTTTACGAACTCGACCCTGTGATTTTGGAGGGCTTTCGGCGAAAACTCGAAACTGGGTGGTGGAAAGCCTTTTTCGGGGATGATCCCGACACTGTTTTGCGGACACCCCGAACAATGTCTCCACACCCTAGCGCGCGCACACACCACGCACCACTTCAAAAGCAAACACTCTTACGCCGAGGTCTGGGCTTTAAGGGTGTTGGCGAGCCCCTCCCACGTACAGCTGGCATCTTTGTTTCTGATGTTTATAAGATGTTGCGCTTCAGGTTTTAGGACTAGGAGTGTTAAAACCTTCTTGGAAGCACCTGCGTCTTGCACGATATTTACAACGTTTTCGTACTATCCGACCACCTGTGCTTTAGCAGTTTCTTCCCTGTCGATTTTTCAACTCGAACTGCTGTCGCAGTTTTGGGGCCTGAGCCTCCGTAACTTTTGCAGTTGTCACAGATAGGGAGCCTGAGCCCCTGCACCTTTTGCAGCTGTCGCGGTACGGAGCCTAGAAGCTGCCACTGCCCAGCCCGGGTGAGCCCGGGTGGAGCAAGTGTAGTTGTTGGGGAGGGGAGACCAGCAGTAGTAGTCGTCGTCGTCGTAGTTTCCAGCAAAGGAGAAGGAGCAGCGGGCTTGCGGTTCTGGGCCCTCGAGCTAGAGATGGTGGATTGGGGTAATCTGAGCACTACGGACTGCTGCCGGGTCCGATTTGGAGCTCCAAAATCCGAAAGATGCATGGTAGATCCCGAAGAAAGGTGAGTTTGGGGCTTCGCTCAACTTCTGGGAGCTGCTGCACGATGTGCACAGGCGTTCTGCTACAATCTGCTACAGCAAGATCCCTTTCGCAAGCAGAGCTGAACCTAACTCTGTTTGAGATAGTTTCCTTCTAAGAAGTTGTATCCATCAATCGATAAGAGGTCTTACATTATATAAACCCCAAGTGCTAGAATCCTTCTGATTATTATTTTCCTGAAGTAAACACCCACTTTCTGAAATCACCCATCTGGCCCTGGCGCCCGAAATCTGATCCTGCGGTCGCATCCACAACTCAGGGCTCGGACTCCATATTGTCGTTTTGTAAACCTAAACCCTAAACACTGGAATCAAGTTCGCCGTAGTTCACCGAACCCCTGACTGACTCTGGGCTGTCGGCCGCGTACTCGTAATCACCTGACATTCCTATCTTCCTTAGGTTTTAGGGGGTAGCTTATAGCATACTATATATAACACGTTCCGGACCATGAGGCGATAAAGGAATAAAATGTCGTCGTGGTGGTGGCGGTTTCGGTTGTGTGTTTACCGACGATACAGCTGGAACCACAACGATTTCCAGACTGTCCGTAGCTGGGGGTTCAGACTGACTGCATGTTCAGTATCGTTGGTGGGGTCGTTTCGTTTTCAGTCGGCATCCGGGGAATCTGTGGCCCTTATCTACGAGACTGAATCGTGGCATGGGCCTTCCGAAGAGGACCGTAGGCAGCGCATATTGCAGAGTTTCTGTAGAAGAAATGGAGCATTGGGCCAGCCCGCGAGTCAGCATGAGGCGCGAGGTCCTGAGCCCAGTGCGCAATGCAAGAAGAAGCCGCTGCGTCTCTCCGGCCGCGCATTGCACGGTGTGAATTGGCCTTGGTCTTGGGACTGAGTGCAGCCCTTGGTTGAATGGTAGGAGTGGTCGGTGGTGACCAAGAACGAACATTGCAATCAGCTACCAACACTACAACCTCACATTGATTCGACCTCGCTGTTCTGTGTGGGAGGGATCTCTGCTCCTACTCTTGCAGATTTCTTCGGTTTTGCAGCGTTGATTGAAGACATTTCCTGAGCATCAGTCGTCAAGATCTTCGAGCGTCCCGGTCGTGCAGAAAGGACGGTGCGTGATGCAAGCTAACCCAGGCAATGAGAACGACAAACCTCAAACTCAGCAGCCAGCACAGGACAGTCGGTGAGCAGAAGCTCGAAAGACAACACCTGGCCACAAACGAAATCAAGAACAAGACTTAAAGCATCAGATGCGTGAAGCCTTGACCACCTCTCCAGACGCTGTGTCTCTGAGAGAACAGCCCACGAGTGTGTGACCTTAGTTGTCTCTGTGTGAGAACTGCCTGTAAAGGGACTTTCGCACACATACTAAAAAAGACCCCCCCTCAAATCTCATGACCAGCTCTAAAGCCCGAGACCAGAAGGACCGGGGCAGCGGCAGAATGTGAGGTACTCCTCGGTGACTACAGGAGTGACTCGGAGGAGGTAGCGGAGGATCTCCTGCGCCGGCCCAGGAGAACGGCGGCAGCGCTTCTCCCGTTACTTCTGCTAGTGTCGCCTCCCCCACTTAAGCTGGCACCCGGACGCGTAAAGACGCCTTGACGGAAAATTGCATATTACGTCGTGAACACTCTCAACTTTTGTTGCCATGGAAAGGTGTTTACGATGTTTGCTGATTGTCGTGTACAGTTTGCAAGTGAATTTTTCAAGAGAAGACGACGACACCCTCAACACAAACCTCGCACGTTCAACAAGCATGTAGCACCGTGTTTTCGATCCCTGTCTCAAGTAACGCTCTCGACTCAGTGCCCGGCACTCAGCGAGACCAAGGGCTCCACCATGACCTCAGCTGGGTAGCAGGGCTGGTGTTGGTGGGGAGCTTGGGTTTGGGGCTTCGGGGTCTCTGCGGATCCGAGAAGTCTCGGAAAGATGGACTTGGGCTCGGATCCAAAGCAGCAGAACACAGCACGTGGTTGTAGCAAAATGAATCTAACGATCGTGCACTTCATCCTGAAATCTGCTGAACGCCCTGAATATTTCACGTGCGATGTTTTCTGAGCCGGCGGCCGAGACAACATCCCGACCGGAGCGGCCCTTTTGCGAGGGCTCCTCGTGATGCTTGCCGTGTTTGTTACGGTTCCGGCGGGAAGTTTTGCATTCAGGCTCCTGGCTGCTGTGACTTGAGCTTTGTGTTCCGGAAGTGGTTTCAAGCTTTGCACTTGCCTCAACATATTTGCTTTGCATAAATTCTGAAACCAAGGTAAGCTGTGGTACTTCTCCACGGGATTCCACGATACCACAAGGCCTAGACATGGCTAGACGCACTCCCGAGACTCCAAGGCTAGCCCAGGGAGGGCGCAAGTTGACTGTTCCGCAGAAGCAACCCTTGCATGCACAGCAGATTCGGTTTTCGAACCGTGCGTGACATGAAGCCCTCCGATGAAACTTGAGTCCGGGCATCACACGAAGAGTACAAGTTGAGGAGGCTGTGCGTGAGGCACGAACTGAGCTTTGAAGCTCCTTCTTAAGCATTCTGCGGCATCCCGGAGGCGAGACTGGTGCATTTTCACACTCACACGTGGGTACTTTCTGATGCCCTTGATGCGACTGATCTCTCTGATCAACGTGATGTTACTGTTTCATTCAACTGCAGGGTTTCCAAATCGCTCAGACGTTCTAGCCGCAGATTCTGGCCCTAAGGCCAAAAAAGAGCCTATGTAAACACGTACCCGAAACTAAGATTCAGTAACCCATCGCTTATATGAGAAACCCTGATTTGGAGTCAGCTTTCAACACTCCTTGGAAGCACGCTGCCAGTGCTCCAGGCGAAGCTGTACGGGCTCCGTAAGTGCCTGAGGGCACCGGCCAGCAGATCTGCAAGTACGAAAATAGAACAACTCGCATAGGGCTTCGGGTTGGGGATTTAGGGTGTGCGGCTTAGGGGTAGCACAGGCGGATTTGTTCGCCGGATTCGGAAACTTCTGGCACTAGAGCCATGTAAAAAACTTCTGAACCCTGAGCCTGAGCGCAATACTCTCAAACCCCAAACCGTAACAACTGGCAAACCGAAGCTAGATACAGTACTTTCGAATCGCGCATTAAAGCCTCAATGAACATCAACAGAACAGGACTTCTTCTGCAATCAGCTAATCTAAACTCTAAACCAATACAGCGCACTGACATACATATCTTAGCCCCGTAGATCCACGGGGTCTGACACCAGCAAAGAAAAATCATGCTGATTGAGCTGGTGCAAGCCAGCCAGAATTACAAATTGCACATGCGCATATAACTCGCATTTGGTAAGTATGTTTGGAGTACTGAAGTTTGTCAATGCAATCGGAACAGGAATGAGACAAGCCACAGAGATTGTACTGGCTTTAGCAGTCGCACTCATGACACTCGGAATTTGTCCGCTAGTTACATGCGTGCTGGGAGTCTCGACCAAGAAGCAGCACAAGCTTTGAGCTGAATGAAAATCCAATAAGAAACATCAGAAAAAACCAGGATCACAATACGTACAAACATCAGTATATAGCCAAACAAGAAGACAAGGAGACAGAAGGAGCAGTCAAGGATGCCAGTCCTGAACCCCGAAAACCAAATCAAAAGTCGGGCATGTGGCTGGCCTTTAAGCCTCGATCTCGCTTGTAGCGCCAGATAGGAAAGCCTCGGAGGCGGGCTTTTCCATCGTGACATATCTTGGCTGCGAGCCGCTAGAGTAGGAATGGTCCCTCCTTGGGATGCGCAGACATAAAAACGTCGCCAACAACCGATCTTTCGTGTCATGAACGTCAACCACGGCTTGAAACGAGTGGCATTCCGCGGTGCAAACCATGGCTTGTAGCACCTGTGGCTCCCGGTTTTAGGTTGTGCAAGCTCTTCTCCGCTTCCGCTCTTTGAGCTTCCGGGCTTGGGGAGTGCGCGGTGAGGGGCTCTCAAGGGCTTCGGAATCGACATGTCGGGGCAGCTTAAGGGTTTGATTCAGGCAAAGGCTGGACATTTTGCATGCTGTGAGTTTAGGGACCACAGAGCACTGAACCCTTTAGACCTCAGAAGACGGGGCCTCCAGAAGGCGTCGCATCGCCGCCTGCACGGAAGCTAGTGGTTGCGGTAGAAGCAGTAGATGTGGTAGCAGCTGTAGTAGGAGTAGGAGTCGTCGGTGGTATGAGCGGAGCAGCAGCGTCGAAGGAGTAGTTGCACTATCCCAGGAAGTATAATGCTCAGTGCTTCTGAACTTCTGTGCGTTGCAAGCGCGCACAGAAACTGAAGCGACGGAAGGCCTTCGGAGCCTTGGGCTCTCGGAGCTGAAAGACTTCCTCAAAGATCGCCCAGCGGTCTTGCTGGAGCTTTCCCGAACCTCGCCAGTCACCCTCACGCTGCATGACGTCCCATGTCGATTGCCCAGCCTTGAAGGAGCCGCAAGAGCCGACCTGCCCAAAGGCCGTCGGAGAGTTGCGCGATCCCGACAAGCGATTACCACAGCCCACCTGCGAAGTTGACGGACTCCAGTTCAAAGGCCGTGCACTTGTCGCAGCCAACTCCGAACCTCGCAGCTGTGCCATGTGCCCAAGACGTCTCTGGATCCGAACTTCAAAGTACCAAAACACCGAGACTCGTGCAGCAGGTCTCGAACTGCCTGAAGGGCCTGCATCACGGCGGAGGCGCCGTGGAAGACATGAAATCTAAGAGGAACCTGCTTCATGACCCGTGCGTCGCTGCCAGCACTGGCTTGGTCCAGGAGCCGAACAGCTCCTGCAGTCTCAACACACCATTCATCTCAGCAATTCCGGCAAAAAGCCCATTGAATTTCTATTATGCTTGTCGTCTTGTAGCACAGATCAATTTGAGGGAGTGAATGGCCCACACAGACTAGAGCCGGTCGGACCAGGCGCACATCCCAGAGAGAGGGACCCAAGCAGACTACTCCAATTCACCATCCGCAAAGGAGAGCTCTCCTGACACCGCCCGTGGCTTCGTCAGTGGGCCCACGGACTCAAGGCCTTGAGTCCAGTGAGACTTAGGTCTACAGTGGCAAGGCCTCTGCTTCACAAGATGTTGCTGTTGCACTTTTCCAAGCCGGCCCTGATTTCCAGAGCGCCGTGCTATGCACACCCCTTGCAAAGGCCCACGCTTGCCAGCTCTTCGCAGAGAGACGTGGCTTCACGGAGGAGGTCCTGAGGTCTCCGATATGCAAGGGCCCTCCTCCTTTGCCCGTCCCTTCGCTTGATGTGAACAGAGCTGCAACAGTCTAGTTTAAGCATGACCGGCAGCTTCATGCAGGTCCTCGTTGGGAACCGCCTTCTCCTGTGCCAGCGCTGGCCCGAAGCAGCCAGCCTGGAAGGGAATCGACATGTTAATGCTGCCTTCTGTTCCACTCGTCCGCCTGTTGTGGATCCCGGGTTGCGATGAGCCGCTTTGCCCAACGGTACACCTGCAAACCAAACCACTGCGAAAACCAGCTGAATCCAGCTGAGCTCTGAACTGAGGTCTGCAATTAAGAGCCATGCCCAGTGGCGACAAAGCGTGGTCAGAAGTCGTGGTTCTTCGAGGGCTCTAGCCTGCGAAAACAACTTTGCGCTCGGGAACAAGCCCTCCTCATCTCAAGCAGTCGACTGTCCAACTTTACAGGGTAAACATCCAAGTAGCTGTGCGCTGCGTTGAAAAAATACACCAGCTGCTCGACCGCTACTGTTCCTTTTTATTTGTTTGCTCGTGTTGTTACACAGGGAAATCGATGCTATCGCTCTAGTTATCTCTAGCGTACTCGCTTTACAAGACACATTGCATGGGAGTGTCCTTCAACCCGATAAGTGGGACTTTTATTTCTGACAATCCTGCTGAAATCAGGCACGCCTGAATGACTTAAACCAATGCTCGGAGGAGTGTACAGCAATTGCCATGCCTTGAGGGCTCTTGCGATGCGCATGGCGTAGAGGGCCTGGGGGTGGATCAGGCTCAGCTTGGATTGAAGGCTGGAGAAGGCAAAAGGTCCAGCCATTGCTAATTAGAAGAACTTCTTTAAAACCTAGACTCTCCTCTAGACTGCGAGTCGAGCAGAAATATGACCACCTGAATGTCCAGACCTCACCCAGGGCTACTGAGATCATCTCAGGTTCCGGCAGAAGTAGCGCCAGATGTGCCCTCAATGGCCCGACACCTGCCATGAACATATAAGCAGAATTGGTGCTATCCTATTTTCCTCGATGGACATGATTACCACCACCACCACCACCATCACCGTCGCTTCCATCACCGTCGCGGGAATGTGTTGAGCCGATTGGAATTTGATCTTTTCGGATTTGGTGAATTTGGAGCTCCAGTGGCCGTGGTTTGCGCCTGGAGGCACCTCTGTATGGAACTGACGTTTGATTTCGAAGGTCGGCACTGCTGAGCCCTTAGTACCTCAGGCCTCGTCTGAAATTGCACACTTCCAAAGGCAAACAGAAGGTGCACCCTGGGCGATGACTTGGAGCCAAGGGACAGGAAGCCATTGAGGA